TAACACCCCCCCCACCCCCACTCCCCCCAACCTCCTGCTTACCTCACTCCGTTGCTCGCCGCCCCCCCGCCAGGTTTCCCACACACCCTTTGCAATCCCCCTCCCCTCAAACAGGTTGGCCTCATTCTCCTCGCCCCCCACCCCTATCCAACCTTCTCCATCGCTGCCCTCCCCCAAACCCCGGCAGCCCTGCCCCACCCCCCTCCGCCTCAGGACGCAGGCCCCTCACCTGCTGCGGGCTCCCGGAGGCTCTGGCGGATGTTCAGGTACTCTATCTCCGCTTGCAGGGGCCCCGAGGCGTCGAGCCTGTGGTGTCCGGGGCTCTGGCTCCAGCTTGCCCGGGCCCGGCCCTGGGCCTCCAGACGGAGCGCTCGGAGGGCCAGCGGCTCGGTTATCTCCAGCAGCACATGACCAGCCACGGTCTCGCCGCTCGAGTAGCTGCTCTTCTGCTCGTCTTCGAACACGAGCCCCAGACTCTTGACCCGGCCCTCGGCCACGGGCCCCGCCGTGGCAGCTGCCCCCGTGGTTGCTTCACCCCCCATCTCCTTACCCCCTCACAGGCCACCTGCTCTCCGGCCGCAGCCCCGCGGCGATGCCTCCTTTCACCAGGCTGGAGCTGGGGTCGAGGGTCGGGTGACCAGAACCACTCTTCTCCCACTTCGCTCCTTGGCTGCTGGGGTCACTAGCTGGTCCCTGGATGGTCCCCAGCGCACTGAGGTGACTATCGCTTTAACAAACTCTCTCGAACCCTAGCTGGGACCTGGAAGGTGCAGAAAGAGCCAACCCAAGCGCTTTCCTATTGGCTGGCTGAGAGGCCCACCTCTCCTTGATTGGCGTCAGGCTTCTACTGAGTCATTGCTTTGTCACCGCCCCTCCCTGCGTGATGAGGAGCAGGCAGAGCGTGATCAGAAAGGCCAGGCCAATGGGAAGTCGCGGGGGGCCGCGGGGGCGCACGTGCTTAGACATCTGATTGGACGAGGGAAGGCACCGGCACCATAAAGGACCAATGAAAACATGGTGCGCCCATGTGGACAGGCTTTGGGGAAACAACATTGTAAGGATGTGGAGCGAGTGAAAAGTCCTTACCTCTGACTGTGTCACGAGTCTCCATGGTAACTCCAGGGGGCTGGGCTTCAAGAAGTACCATAAAGAGAAGTTACAGTAAGAGCTGAAAGAGACATTGGTGATCAGCCTAACCCTCTCGTTTTTTAAAAAAAAAATTGTAGGGCTCTAGCGTGGATAGCCGTTAAAAAAAAAAACCCCACCCCCCCAAAAAAACATGACTTTTGATTGTCTGTTCTAACGGAGATAGAAATGATGAGCTGGAGAAAGGGGTGCCCAGATTTCTTTAAAATACTGGATTTGGGGGCTGGGTTAATGAGAACTTGAAAAATAGACAACTTAGAAATTTCCATCCCTAGACTAAAACCCATTGAATTCCAAAAGCCCTGTGGTCCCTCTTTTTCTTTGTCTAGTCCAGACCTAGCCTTTCAGCGTTGATTTTCTTAAAATGATACAGTGGAAATAAATAACCCTGAACTTGGTAAGACCTGGCTTTGAAATCCACCTCTGACACCTACAGAAGACAGGTAAATGTAGCACTGGACCTGGAGTCAGCAGGACCTGAGTTCCCGTGTGATCTCAGACACTTAGTAGCCAGTCAACCTTGCACAAGTCACTTAACCTCTGTTCACCTCAGTCTTCTATGAAATTGGGTAATAATCATACCTGCCTCACAGGGTTTTGAGGATCAAGTGATATAATATTTGTAAAGCACTATATAATGCTTCTATAATATTGTCATAATGGGCGATTCAATTAACATTTCTAGACCTCAGTTTCCATATTTTATGAAAGGTAGTATAGTGGAAAGAACCTTGGATTTGAAGTCAAAGGACTTAGGTTCACAACCCTGACTTTCCTATCTAAAATCATTGAGTCATAGCTCTACAGGGGGACCTCAGACACTGTATAGTCCATCCTTATTTTATGAATGAAGCCCATATAGTTCAGAGAGTTGAAGTAAGTAGGGAGCAAAGTGGAACAGGGCATAGAATGACTGACCTGGAGTTAAAAGATGAGTTCAAATTCAGCTTCATACACTTACCAACTAAGTGAGCCTGGGCAAATCATTTAACTTCCCTATGCTTGTTTCCTCATCTGTAAAATGGGGATAATAATAGCACCTACCTCACAGGGTTATTGTGAGGATAAAATGAGCAAATAATTGTAAGGCACTTAGCACATCATAAGCACTACATAAATGTTAACCGTTATTATTAAAGTTCTTTGCAAACAGTTCTCTATGAATGCTAGCTATTATTATTATTATTGCCCTAGATCACAGAAATAGTAAGTGTTCACAGGCAGGATTTGAATACAGGGGTTCTAATTGCAGAGCCAGTGATAATTCCACACTTTAATCTTCCTCTTACCTTGGGATCTTGGGAAAGTTACTCTTCCTTTTCCTGGGCTTCAGTTTCCTTTTATGTAAAATGAAAAGGGTGGACTCATTCCTATTCTGAAAAAAACAAAAACAAGGACAATGGAGATTATACATTTGTTACCTTTCTCAGGGTCATGATGAAGAAAATACTTTATAAATAGCGTAAATAAAATCTAAATAGGTTCTAAATCTAAATAGAATCCTATATTCTATAGTCATAGACTATCAAAGTTGGATGAGACCTCAAAGGTCTAACTAACCCTTCTCCATTCCTAATGCCGGAATCCTCTTTATGACATAGATAGGTCTCTGCTTCTGCTTTAAAAGACCTTTAGGTGGGGGCAGCTAGGTGGCCCAGTGGATAGAGCACTGGCCCTGGAGTCAGGAGTACCTGAGTTCAAATCTGGCCTCAGACCAAACACTTGATGCTTACTAGCTGTGTGACCCTGGGCAAGTCACTTAATTCTGATTGCCATAAAAAAAAAAGACTTTTAGGTCTTATTGCTTTATAGGGTAAACTGGGAACATTGCTTTATAGGGTAACTGTTCCAGTGTCAGATAGCTATGACTAAGGAAATTCTTTCTTATTCCTAGTAGACATGTTCCTTCCTGGAATCTGTCTCTTCTCCCCAGCCTCCTAGCACACAATCTGCCCATTACTCCTAGTTCTGTCCCAAGCAAGACAAGTCATGTTCTTACCATCCACTGGACATTGAACCAATTTAATAAACTTAGTTTCATTTTTAAGAAAAAATACAGAAGTAAAAAATATAGGACATTAACTATGTTCCATTTTATTTGAATTCAGTCCATATCTAGAGTTCTAGAACCATAGTTTTAAAAGAACATAACAGTTCTTATTTGAAGATTTTTACCTTAAAGTACTATAGGAATTTGCTATTATTATTCCTGCCTTACCCCAAACCATTTGCCAGCCTTAACAACCATAGTCTATAATAAATTCCATTTGCCTCAATAACATTTATTTCCCACACATTCAAATCTCACCTGTAATTGTCAGCTTCAAATGACATTCTCCATACTTTCATCTTCAACTTACTCCCTACTGAACTGATATTCTCATGTGTCATTTCCAAATTATATTTGTTAATCACCACTCTATAGTTACAACTATATCACATGATTCTTTTAAGTGAATTGCAAGTTGATGACCTGTTATCATATATTGACACAATCAAACAATTCCAGGTGAAGGTCTTCTCATTCTATTCTAATTAAAGGAAGGTCTTTTACTTTGTTTTCCATATGAAAATACTTATTACATACATTTTACCCATTTATTACCTCTCCAATGAGGTTACCCCGAAGGCTTAACATAGCTACTATGTATCAATACCTAAACGCCTATCCTATAACATTCAATATTAATATCACACTCTACTCCCATGTAACTCTATATGATAATCTAATAGTTCCATACTTAAGCACCTTTTTTTTTTTTTTTTTTTTTTAGGCAATTGGAGTTAAGTGACTTGCCCAGGGTCACACAGCTAGAAAGTGTCAAGTGTTTGGTCTGAGGCTGGATTTGTACTCAGGTCCTCCTGACTTCAGGGCTGGTGCTGTATCCACTGCGCCACCTAGCTGCCCCTTACACACCTTCTTGAAAATTCAAAATAATTTGCTAAGAAGTGAAGGTCAACTTTGAACTGCTAGCAGAATTAGCTGCACAAAAGAAATAGAGGATTACCTTCAAAAATATAAAATACCCAAAATATCAGAAGACCAAATCAAGGTCTTAAAACAATAAATTCCAGGAGAAGGGAGAAAACCACCAAAGAAACAACTTCTGTTCCTGTGATCACAAGAGAATTCTATCAAACTGCTAAAAAACAATCAATACCAATACTATACAAATTATTCTCAGAAAGTGAGAAAGCACCTCACTAAACACCTTTTATGAGATAAATATAGTCCTAATAACTAAACCAGGAAAAGATCAAATAAAGAAGTACTGTAGAAAAATATCATTAATGAAAAGTGATTCAAAAATTTTAAATAAAATTCTATCAAGCAGACTACAGTTATTTATCTAAGAAACCATTCATTATGACCAAGATAGATTTATACCAGGTATGCAAGGATACTTCAACATTAGGGAAGCAATCATCATAATAAATCATATTAAGAACAAAAATATTCCAAACCACATGATTGTTTTAATAAATACTTAGAAAAAGATTTTGACAAAATAGAATACTCATTTATGCTAAAAAAAAAAATCTACAAAGTAATATGTTATCTAAAGAGGAAGGGATGAAGATAAGCATTTAAATAGAACCTACTATGTTCCAGGCACTGTACTAAGCACTTTTTTTTTTTACAAATATTATCTCATTTGATACAACAATCTTGCAAGGTAGGTACTATTATCATCCTCTTTTTTACAGTTGAGGAAAGGGAGAAAAACAGAGGTTAAGTGACTTGCCCGGGATCACACAGCTAGTAAGTGTCTGATACCAGATTTGAACTCAGGTCTTCCCAACTCTAGGCCTAACACTCTAAAAGCAATGAAAATACACTAGAAACGTTTTCAATAAAAACAAGCATGAAACAAAGATGCCAACTCTCTCCAGTATTATTGTAGGTCTAGAAAGAGCAATGAGACAAGGAAAAAGAATTTAAAAGTGTAACAACAGTCAAGAAGATGAAACTGTCTATATATGCTGATGACATGATGGTTTACTTAGAAAATCCCAAGGGAATAGAAAAGAAATTGAGATAATAGCTTCAGTAAAATTATAGGCTATAAATAAATTGACAAAAAATTCCTAACATTTCTATAAAATCTAAGAGGCAATAATAGAAAGGGAAATCCCATTCAAAATATATTTAGGCTTTATGTTTGGACCATGCCAATATAAATGCCATGAAAAGACAGCAGTACCAAAGTTAATTTACAGTTTTAGTTCTATAGTCTTCAGACTAACAAAAAAAAATTTACAGATCTTGATAAAATAATGACAGTTTGGAGGAAAGATCAATAACAACAAGGTAAATAATGAAAAAAGGAAAGGAATGAAGGGAGAATAGCACTTCTAGACCTCAAATTATATCATAAAATAACAGTCATCAAAATAATTTGTTATTCATTAAGAAATGGAGGAATGGAAGGGAATGAGCAATTACAGAGTTCCTACTATGTGTCATGTAGTGTGCTCAGTTATTTTTACAAATATCTCTTTTTATCTTCACAGCAACTCTGGGAGGTAGGTGCTATTATTATCTCCATTTTACAGAAGAGGAAACTGAGGTGAACAGAGGTTAATTGACATATCCAGCATCACATAACTGGTAAGTGTCTGAGGCCAA